CCACCGCTAAAAATGTGCAATGTTACAGACCCCGATGAGCACCTCCATCTACTTCGTCCACCGCAACCCGGCCATCTACCCGGATCCGCAGAAGTTTGACCCGGAGAGATGGATCAAGGCCACTGAAACAGGCAATCCTCTTCACCGATATCTTGTCCCCTTCACCAAGGGAAGCCGAATATGCCTTGGAATGAAGTAAGTATCCTCCCCTAATGGAATATTCATGATTAAAATCAGCTGACCTCGATCCAGCCTGGCCTTTCTGGAAATGTACCTCGCGATCGCGTATCATATCCGCCGGTTTGATCTGGAGATCTGCGACACTGATCCGGAGAGTCTTCGGGTCACGCGCGAGAAGGTACTCGGATTTCCTGAACATGGTGGATTGCAGATTAAGGCTCGCGTGAAAGCTGTGTTGAAGGATTGACGTTATTTTCTTTTTCTTTTTTGGTTTGTGCGGAGCAATTTATGTTGGGATGTCAGTCAGGCGAAGCTCCGTACTAAACGTTACTCAACGATTTGGCGTAGCGGTCTTGAGATTTTTGATCGTCTAGTCTGTTTTGTTTTGCATTCACTGCAAACCATGCTGTCGATCCTGTCGGATTCTAGAGCATGTAGAGCGAAGCATCACCCATCCAGTCTTTTGATCATGATCATCTCAATCCATGGTTCGAACATAATTACCATTGACCTGTTCTTATAGAAAAGCTGTCATTTAATTGGTAAACAAGCTACTCAATATGCTAATCAAGCCAAAGCCCTGGATGACCTGCCTTGATCCTTGTCATATATATATGCAAAACAGAGAGAATTTACAGCCCAAAGGTGTTATATCTCTTTTGGTGATCACGTCTTTTTGTACGACTTGTACTCATGCTTTTGAAATCCTACAACCTTTAGCAACCTTCCCATACTCATAATTTCTATCGTTCTTTTGGTCGTGTTCATCGGTGCTCCCACAGAGACGTCTGGATCGGGCACTCCGTCGGTCACGGACCACATGGAACCCTACCCCTGTCACTCTCTCTGCCGCTCTCCGAGCTGTCCCACTCGAAGTGTCAATCCTACCGTCCCACAAATCCAATCTTATGCCCATCGAGCTGGTATCATCGAGCCTCCTCTGTGTCAGATGCTCTGCATTATGCAGTTTCTCGTGCCCACGACTCGATAAAAGATCATGACGAGCCTGAAGAGGACAGCGTCGCGCAACTACCGCACGTGTCGGTCAAAACATACGATGCATGTAAAGGTCGCCCGTAAGAGTCTATTCTAGTCAGAGAGAGAATATCAAACTCCAAAGCGCAGAGTCTAAAATCCATATTCTGCCTGCAATTAAGCTCTTGCTTGACGATCTCATATGTTCAAGAATCCACCCCCAAGTTTGTCAATCTCCGTCGACAATAAGAGAAAGAAAGAAAAATCCCAAGCCGTCCTAGCTAAACCGATCACAAGCAAACAACCGAAACTACTAGACCCAACAAAGTTCACCCTATTCAGCCGCTGTTCTAGCCAAGAACAAGCCCTCTTACCCTCAATCGCCATGGATGGAACCCAAATACCACATCCCGCTGGCTGCCAGCCAATGAAGGGACGCGATGGCTCAGCTGCCTCGTATTCGAGTTAGAGATCTGCAATTTAGAGGATCTGTTACGTGTGGGAAACGGAGAGGAATTTTGCGTAAAAGAGGGGAGAAATAGCTGTTTTATACTCGACTGTGGGTATCTACCAATATTGTCATGAAAACGTTAGCCTGACAGGAGCCTATCATGAAGATTCTTTCTAGTATATCGACCCACGAACGAGGCTTCGGGTCGAGAGAGGTGAGGTATCACCTATCTGCACGAGGCTGGCCTGCCAAGGGACTACTGCTAGGCAGTAATCTCCGCCTTGCCAAGTCATGATCGTCCCCTTTCACGATTAGGTGGGCACGGGCGAGACTTTTATATCTAGGGTTGCGAGCGGTTGAACCGTTTCTCAAGTGGACATGTACTGTGTCTTACACACACGCACACACGCACACACGCCGGCGTCGTGTCTCTCTTCCACGACCCACGCAGAGCAAAACCCATCTACACATACATATATGTCCTTCCTTACATACAGAAGACGACAGCCCAAACCCCGACCAAAATGCACCTCTCCGTCTCCGCCCTCCCATCCCTCCTAACGATCATCACTCCCCTCATAACACTTACCCTGCCCCCACCAACGACCGCCTGGGCCTTCGCCTACACCAACCAAACTGGCAACACCCGCTTCATCCACGGCTACGAAAGCGACCTGCGCAAATGCACAGTGGCGAACATCGCGAAAGGCAAACTCGTCGACTATGACTCGCAAGGCGACCGCGTCTGCGTCTCCATCTTCCGCGACGAGACCTGCACCGACAGCGCGGGCTACGCGTGCCACACGCACGTGCACAACGCGAGCGCGAACTTCGCTGCTTACTCGATTTATCCGCGGGAGGAGGAGGCTGGTGGGGGTGGACTGAGTGGCGGGGCCATTGCGGGGATTGTGGTTGGGGTTGTGGCTGCTTGTGCTGGGGCTGGGGGGCTATTGGGGGTTGTTTGGTGGAGGAGGAGGAAGAGAAGAGTGAGAGATGAGCAGGGCGAGGAGGAAGAGCATGATGATACTAGTGTTGTTGGGTTGAAGCAGAGGGGGAGTAAGAGGGGGTCTGGGGAGTCGAGTGCGAGGGGGCATACTGCTCATGGGGATGGAGATGGGGATGGAGGTGGGGATGGGGATGTGGGTGCGAGAGAGTCAGAGTTTGAGAGGCCCTCTGAGTTGATGGGGGATGCAGGGCTGAGTGAGATGAGTGACAGTCATCGCGTTGTGGAGCTGGGGGACAGTGGTCGTGTGGAAAGACATCCTCAAATGAAGGTCGCGGAGCTAGGGTGAGGATGGATATGAGGCTATATTCACGATATAATTCTTGTTCAATATTGCTGTATGCCTGTTTTCATTGCTATCTAGCGGAGTATGTAATATACCAGACCTTTCAATGGGAATTGACATACTTCATCTACACTCCACCGACCCCGGCCAGGAATCACGCGACAAACCCTTGATAGATTTCATTGAGAACATCGCGCTTACGCTTTCGATCCGCCTGTTCCGCCTCCTCAGCATCATCCATCTCATCCGCCTCCGACCCCCGCGACGCCCAAGCCCGAACCGTGCCATCGCCATGCGCCGAGAACATCTCCAGACCCGCCCCAGACGCCCCATTACCGCGCCAGACCAGCGCATTGATACGCGCTGCGGTCAGCGCGCTCGACCGCCCCCGGAAGTCCCTCCTACCGGTCGTGACGAGGCCCGGAACGCGCAACCGCTTGACAAAGGCCCCCTCGCGGAATTCGAACATGAAGATCTCGCCGCGGTCGTCCTGCTCGTTGAAATTGGGCCACAGTAGAGTTTCCCGCCCGGGTTCCATGACGCCTGTGGGAACTAGGAGGGGGGCGCGTTCCGCCAGGTGCGAGGTGACGCTGTTGCGGACGCGGGGCCCGAAGTGGACAAGCGTATTGGCGCCTGTCGAGGCATCCCAGACGCGGATGCGCGCGTCTTGGCCGGCGGTGACGAGGTGGGTTCCGGCGGCGGTCCACCGGACGCCTGTGACGGCGCCGTTGTGAGCGCGCGCGTGCGGGGAGAAGGGCGGGCGGGGCTGGTGGGACGGTGGGGCGAGGCGGGGAGGGACTAGGCCGACGGCGTCGTCCATGTCTAGGGCGGCGATGGCGGAGTTGTGGCCTCCACGGCGGATGTCGAAGAGAATGACTCGGTGGTCGGCGGAGGCGGAGGCCAAGATGTGGGGTTGGTGCGGGGCCCACGCGACGGAGAGGACGGACGAGGTGTGGCCCGGGAGGCCGTGAGTGGAGAGTCCCGAGCGCAGGTCGAGCAGTCGGACGGGTTTCTCGGAGGTGCCGACGGCGATGAGAAGGGGCGATCCCGGGTGCGAGGACAGGGAATGCGTGTATGGGGTGCAGTCCAGTCGGAATGTGTGGACAGGGGTGATGGCGGCTGGCTCCAGGGCCGATAGCTTCAGCGTGCCATCGTGCGACGTGGTGAGAATGGTCGACGGGACGGGATCAAAGGGATAGATGGAGACCGACGTGATGGCCCGTGTATGGGTGTCCGTCTGCGACGACCGGTCCACCGAGGCCACCGGGCGATGGACATGGTGCTGTTCGGATCCGCGCGTCTCGAGATCCCAGAGATGGATCGATGGATCCGCGCCCCCGGAGACCATGCTGATCGATTGTCAACAAGCATTCTTCACTACAAGGAACATGAGACCTACAAACGGCCTTCATAGTGGTCGATGGCCAGCACGTTGGTGCCCGATCGGTGGGCCAATATATGATCTGGGTCATCCTCGGGGGTCTGATCTCCCCCTTGATCGCTCCTGTGATGGGAAAATCGGATTCCCGGCGCTGGCTCCAAGTTATGGACCAGACTGGTGGTCTGGGCGACCTGGAAACTGGACGGAGCGACAGACCCAATGGTCCGGTTCAAGAGATACGCATTCATTCATTGATGGAAGTTTGGTAAACTTGAAGTCGAAGTTGAGACGCGATCGATTGGCGGGGAGTTGGTTGCCTGTCTTTTCTGGCAATCGGGTCACGGGGTCCGTGCACGTGCCTTCCTCCATTACCGCGGTTTATATCTCTACATATACTTCAGAATATCTCCTTCAATAATCATCTCGACTTGATATGGCTCAAGGCTGGACTCTTTTAATACCATTTGAAGCTGATAGCCAAAAGCAATGAAATGGGATCAAGAACTCAATGACAGTGGTACCCGAATGTGTTGATATGGGATCTCCCAACCATGGAATCGTACAAACTTGCAAGTATGAAACGAAGAAGGTAGGATCTCCTAATCTCAATTCACCTCATCCGTACTCTCGACCTCTTCAGAGTCAGCCTCCCTGCTCACGCGCTTCCATTCCGCAACCAACCCTCGATAATCTCCCGGCCCATGAGGCTGGAACAAATGGGCCCAAAAGGTCGACTTGCGACGCGTAGAAACACCCAAATCCCCCAGAAGAAGGTCCAAGTAGGGGAGAAGATCAAACGCAAAGTCCGGATGCAGATGACCATATCCGCCCGGACACCTCCATTTCCCGAATTCGGTGTGGAGGGCTGTTTCCCACCCGATGTCCTCATGGGCTTCATCCGATGCTCCGTCGGATTCAGAGTTGGAAAGGAGGGCACTTATGGGGCTGGTTGCTGAGAGTTGGTTGTCAAAGTATGCAGTGGCCCACAGACTCTGAACCTCAGCGACCATGCTCGTGGCGAACGATACGAGGTTCCCGACAAGGACTAGAGATCGGTCGTGCAAGAAGGCAGGAGGAACCATGAACCGGGTGAGGCGAATGGGGTGTGTTATTTCTCGCTGGATGGAGGTGCCATTGAGGACTGGCTGGTTGCGGAGGGTTGGGAATCGACGCAGAATCTCCTGAGTGGCTCGATCCACTGTGTCTTCGCTCAAATAATCTGGCGATCCAGGGAAGCCAATCTGATGAGCCAGGTTGGCCGGGACGAGCTCGATCTCGGGGGTCGATTTCCACCCGGTGCAACACACCAAAGCGGTCGTAGTGATTTGGTCTCCATTCGAGAGGTGGACCATTTCCGAAGACAGCCGGTCAATATCAGCAATGTGAACCCTCACCAACCCCTCCCGCACATACTGGAAGAAGTCCGTCGGATAGTTCAAGATATTAAACGTCGACGCAACCCAGAACGGGTGAATCCATGGCCTCAGCTTCTCCGTGCCGGGGTGATCCTCGTACCGGTTGACAGCATTAACCTGTCTCTCCATTGTACCCCAGAAAGCGTCCACAACCTTCCTCCCCAACCACGTCCCATGGAGAAACCGGCGGACTTTCCCAAACCCGTCCGCCTCGCCCCAGATACACGGGCTCAGCAGCGTAGTCAACCGAGTCGCCACAAAGTCCTCCATAGGTCGCTGGAAGGGCGCCGAAAACGTCGGCACCATCCACCCCGGTCCGTGGCCCGACTCCCGAATTACCCAGTCGACAGAGACGCCGGACGAGGCGCACGCGTACGTTGTATCCCACGCGGACTTGGTCCCTCCCAGCACGGTGACAGACGCTCCCTCCACGAGGACCCTACTCTCGTACCGCGCCAGGTGACGAACATGGAACAGAGGAACCCCAAACACGTCTTCACCCGCCAACTGCGGCATAGACGGCTGCGAAGTCAACCCCGTAGCCAGGATCAATCTTGGAGATTTGATAACAAACGTAGTACCCCCGGTACTACTTTCATCCCCCCCACGACCATCATCAACAGTCAAAACCCACTTCTTGTCGCTCGTATACTCAGCCCTCATCAACTTGCACCGCAGCCTAATCTTATCGCCCAAGTCCCGCTCCTTGACATAAGCCTGTAGATAAGCGTGGACCGCATCACCTGGAATGTGTCGGCCGACACGGACGCCGAACTGCGCTTCTGTCATGGGAAAGTCGCTGAACTCGTAGGAGCCGAGCAGGTTATTTGTTCGGAGACCGCGGTAGAGGCGCTCTTTGGCCCAGACTCCGCCAATGGATGCGCTGCGGTCGAGGATGATTACTTTGTGTGTGGGATGCACTTCGAGGTATGTTTTTGCGGCAGAGATCCCGTGCCAGCCTGTGTGGGAGTCTTGTTAGTTGGTTGGGGTGTTTGGCAGAGGGAGGGAGAGGCGTACCGGCGCCGACGATGACGAGGTCGACGGTTTCCATTTGGAGGTGGTCTGTTGAGGTTGTTCGTTCTGTTTTAAAATTAGAAGTGGTGTTGTTAGTAGGTTGAGAGGAGTTGTTATGGGGAGGTGAGGAAGCAGACGGTCATTAAATACTGGGGAGACATTGGTAAAAAGGGACAAAGAAGTGATAGAGTGAGTGCTACATGATCTATACAGTTGCCAGTAACTGGTCTGGTAAGGTAGGAAGACCACCATCACTGTGCATATCATTAGTATGATGACTCTTTATCTTGTATTCTTGGAGGAGATGGTGAGTTGGATTCTATCATTGACAAAAAACCAGGCTACCAGTGATACCAAGGATCCCCTGCATTGCCCAGCCTATTCATAAACCGCGGTGAATATCCAAATGGCTCAACTCAAGTACACCAAAAACATTATATCTAGCGTAGTTCAATACCCAGCTTATCATTCCGAGTCATGTATGTCCTCAGTGGACGACAAGCATCACCCCAGTTGACCAGATACTTCTCAGCCACACCTCACTTCTCCCTCGGCACAATATCAGCCATCATATCCGACTGCTGCACGAACCAGACATTGCGAATCTTCCACGGGTTATCCGGCCGATGCAGGCGCACCTCGTAGCGGCGCAGAATCTGCGGGACAAGTTTATGCATCTCCATGAGGGCGAGCGATTTGCCGATGCACAGACGGGAGCCACCTCCGAACGAAAAGAAAGCTTGCTCCCTTGCCTTTAGCTCCGCGGGCGACCCGTCGAGCCACCGCTCCGGAATGAAGGCCTCAGGGTCCGGGAACACGCTCGTATTGCGGTGCATGGACCAGGGGTTGACGCCGACGACAGTACCGGCTGGGAAGTACCGACCCGCGATGGTGGCGCCGCCCTTGGGGACCTCGCGCTCCATCATCAGCCCGGTGGAGGGGTGGATACGCATGGCTTCTTTGAAGACGGCAGCGATGTAGGGGAGGTGGGTGGCGGATTCGCGGTAGGAGATGGGGTCGGAGAGGGCGCCGGCGGCGTCGGCGGTGTCGATCTCCTGCATGACGCGGGCTAGGACGGGGGGGTTGCGGGCGAGGGAGGCGAAGATGGTGCGTAGGGCGATGGCCGTGGTGTCGGAGCCGGCGAAGACGTTGGTGGAGGTGTGGACCATGATATCGCGGGTGGAGAGCTTGGTCGGGTTGGCGTTGTGGACGTCCAGCCATCGCGAAAGCATGTCTTTTCCGGGCTTGGCCTTGTCCTGGCCCTCGACCTCGCCGTCCCGCTCCAGCGCGACGCGCGCGTTAATGCATTTGAGGGTGAACTGCACGATCGAGTTCCAGGACTCCATGCTGGGGATAAGCAGGGGGAATATGGGGTTCCCCAGCAAGAAGTGGTGGGCGTCGGGCACTTGGCCGCAGACGCTGGCGTAGACCAGGATGTTGGAGATGGTGCTCATCATGTCGTCAACGTCGGTGCCGCGCTCGAGGAAGCCGAGCTTGGTGGCGAAGGTCATCTCCCCGACCACGTCAAAGGCGTAGAATTGCAGCCAAGAGCTCAGGTCGATCGGCTCATGTGCGTCCGCGGATGCGCGCAGCTTGCGCATGAAGATCTCCGTGCACGAGTCGATGGCATGTTCCATCTCCAGCATGTGGGACAGGCTGTAGGCGTTGGCCACCAATCGCTTTTGCTCGCGGTGGGCTTGCGTGTTTCGCTCGGAGAAGAGGTTCATCTGCGGTTTTTTGTTCCATGAGATACTCTGGATTGGATAGAATGCTGTCTGCCATTCAATTAGTCTTTCCGTACGAAACTCGACACTACATTTTGTCGACACCTACCTTGGTAAAGCCCGTGCTCAGACCGTAGATGGTCGGGATGGCCGCCGGGTCGCTGAAGGAGACATGCTTCGGACCAATGCGCACCATCAGACCATGTTTCTTGTGGAGATCTATCTCCGTGAGATGGTGGTTACCCTTCCACACACTGTACGCCTTCCAGAGGCGCGTGTATTTGGCCAGTGTGGGACCAGGGATGTCGCGCAGCCCGGGCCGGAGCCGGTTGTAGACCAGTCGCAGGAGATAGAGACCGGCGAAGACCAGTGCCAGGCTAGCAGGATTCATCCTGGTTTCTACGGCAGAGTCGATCCACGCCATTTCTCACAGACACGAATGATACTATCAATATGTTCTCGTCTGTTCGTATAAAAGACATGCAAGTTTTCCATCAAAACCGGGACCACGCTCATTATTTAACAGACACGATCAGGCTATCAAGCTAGAGCACACCACACCTGCTATGCAAGCAGGTGGGCCGGCCCCCGCTCCTTCACCAGACCAGACAGCTCCATGACCTCGATCTACCACCAATAGAGACCTTCATATTGCAGAAAACGCCGATGATAATCGCGGGAACAATCAGGGTTTCACTCTCGGACCGTACTTACGACACATAACCCTTACGTTGACACCGGTGGAAAGTCCTGTCACATTGGGCACTTGTCCGACGGGCGAACAAATCATGTCGAGGCCCATGCCGATCATGACAAGTCGGAGAGGACCGTTTAACGTTAGCCTGCGCTATGACACGGGCTTGGCTGCATCTTGCACCACCGTCTTCCCCCTCATAGGGCCAGGCTGTCACAACCCTGGGTGGTTGGAGAGGACTGGACCATTTAGAGCCACATTCAGTTCCTCCGAGGGGGTGTCGAATTTCGAATTGGGAGCGACCTTGTAGTGCTATCTTCTCATTGGGACCAGGGTCTAGTCTGCAGGAGCCTTATCCCGGCTGCCTGTAACGGCTCTAATCAAGGCAAGGCTGTGATGACCGGACGACTAGGGTTGTTCAGAGATTATAGCTTAGGAATAAGGCTTCCGAGGTCGCACATACACTTCTACCGCAGAAGCGAGATAGTATTCATGCATAATATGATAGATCAAGGCTCGAGATGGTCAGGCGTCGTGTCCTATAATAAAGGAAAAGAAAAATGTAAGGTATTGATGGTCGCGTCTGATTAGAACGGAGAGATAAAGACCATGCCCTATACCCTATGCCCTATAACCTAAAACAGTGTTTGCAGTGTTTGGCGGCTATCTCCCCGCAGCGGGTCTTGCAAGAGCGCCTCGATCCATCAGCCTCGGTCTGGCAGTCTATTGACCATCGTTGTCCTCATCGTTCGCAGGAGTAGTCGCGTGTTTCAAGATCTTCAGTAATTGCGTCGCTTGGGAATACAGTCAACATGGCGATGAGCCAGATCCCGGGCCATAATATCTACATTGGCGGGTGAGTCGCCCCGCGTCCCCAATCCGGCAAGGTCGTTCCTCACGATGGTGTAGATTCTCAGATACATGGGGATCAGTGGTCGCAGGTCACGGAGACAACGGGCAAGATCCAGCTGACGGGACCCTTTAGCATCTTCACGCTCCGGAACAAGGCTGCCCTGAGTCGAGCCAACATCACACATATCGTCTCGGTGGTTAAACTACGACCTGATGAGTCGGTCTTTGAGGACTTCCAGCAGCATCGCATTGACGTCGATGATGTAGACGATGAGAATCTTCTGGAACATTTCCCTGCGGCGATTCAATTCATCCAGTCGGGATTGGATGCCGGGGGGAGTGTACTCGTCCACTGGTTAGTCCCCGCATGTTTTCTGCTTACGGTTTCATATACTGCGTCCAGACGACCGTAACCACATATATTATGAATCAGCAGCATTCATCTGGACCGTCTGGTTGCTGACCATACCAGTGCCATGGGGAAGTCGCGGTCCGCTACAATCGCCATCGCCTATCTCCTCAATCGCCAACCCAATATCCTATCACCAGACTCGGCCCTCGAGCTAATCCGGCAGAGTCGGCCGCTCTGTGAGCCCAACGACGGGTTCATGCGCCAACTGTTTTTATACCACCAGATGGGCTGTCCGGATGACGTCGTCAACCACCCCACCTACATCCGCTGGTTGTCCAACCGCGAGGTGGAAGAAAGCGTCGCATGTGGTCGTGCACCTGAAATGAAGTCCGTTCTCTTCGAAGATGAACGGACGAGCGAACAACAAGCATCAGCGGATCGCGCAACGGAAATTAAATGCCGCAAGTGCCGGTCAGCCACCCTCCCCCTTGTCTCGCTCTGGACTCGTCGGTTTGAAACTAGTAGGTGATACTGATTGCATGCAGGCGCACACTAGCTACAGGCTCCTTTATCGCGCCCCACGGTCCACAGGGACGCGTTGATGTCAAGACCGATTGCGCCCACATCTTCCTCCACCCGTTGACGTGGATGCGCCCATGTCTGTTCCCTAACGAGGTCGAGGATGGGAACGCCTCGGAGGCGCCGTCGGATGATGCTCCCTTATCGGGCCGCCTGACCTGTCCGAACAGCGCCTGTGGCCAGAACATCGGCAAGTTCGCGTGGCAGGGGATGCAGTGCAGTTGCGGGGATTGGGTGGTTCCCGCCATCGCAGTGGTCAAGGCCCGGGTCGATGTGTCCCAGCGCGTCACCACTGCCAGAGGACCCGCGGCGCTTGGAATTCGTATGCCACCTGGGATGCGACCCAGTGGGCCACCGGAATCAGGGTCGGGGCGAGGCAACTTGTGAGGTTGTCAGTAATTATCCATTTCACTGCATACAGGCATAGGGCACTTCTAGGGATGTATATACAAACGAGATACCCGGTACTCATACAGGCTCCTTTCCATAGATCTAGACGTGATAATCACCAGATCTATAGCTACATAGATACCTCGGTGCTATCTATCTGTACCTTAGGGAGTAGAAAAAAACCCAGGCCATCCCAATGCGGAAGGCCAACGCTCTGGCCGCTCGGGCCAATCGGAGGATCGACATCACGTGGCTGGGAGCTTCTCCGCATTCCGGGCCATGAATGGGATGATCCATCCATGATGCTCCATCCATCTCCTCTCAATCAGACCATTTTCGCTCATCTCTCCCATCGACGGATCACATCTGTCACTCCGGATTAGCTGTCAAATCTCCCCTATCATGATGCATATCCGCCCGCGGCCTGGGTTCTTCTCTGCCCTCCGCGGCCCCCTCTCCACTCGGCGCTTTGCGACCGAGGCGCGGTTAACGTCGGACCACGTCCGGATCGTTGAAGTCGGCCCCCGCGATGGTCTCCAGAACGAAAAGAAATCCATCCCGCTAGAGACGAAGCTTGAGTTGATCAAGAAGCTCGCTGGTACGGGCGTCACGACCATCGAAGCGGGCTCGTTTGTGCCGGCCAAATGGGTGCCTCAGGTATATACTCTCGTGGGCGGGGGTTCCCCGTCCGATGGCTTTGGCAAAGGCGTTGTGCTAACCCAGGGCGCAATGGGGACAGATGGCCAGTACGAATGAAATCTGCGAGCATCTCCTGCGGACGCCACCGCCATCCGCGACCGCCATCGCCTACAATTACTTGGTGCCGAACGTGAAGGGACTGGAAGGCCTAGTCCGGATCATGGACGACACCGGGGTCTCCGCCGCGGGGGGCTCGGCGGCAGACAAGGCCTCCACGACGACGGAGATCTCCGTCTTCACCGCCGCGACGGAGGCCTTCTCCAAGGCGAATACGAACTGCACGATCGCCGAGTCGCTGGAGCGCATCCGGCCGATCGTAACGCAGGCGCTGAGCCACAACATCCGGGTGCGCGGCTACGTATCGGTAGCGCTAGGATGCCCCTACGAGGGGCCGAACGTGCCTACCTCCACCGTGACGGATATCACAGCGTCGCTGCTGGAGATGGGCGCCGACGAGGTCTCCATCGGCGACACGACGGGCATGGGGACAGCCCCGCGCACGATGGAACTGCTAAACGCGCTGCGGGCGGCGGGGATCGCCAACAATGATCTAGCTTTACACTTCCACGACACGTACGGTCAGGCCCTAGTCAACACCATTGTCGGGCTGGAACACGGCATCCGCATCTTCGACAGCAGCGTCGGCGGCCTGGGCGGCTGCCCGTACTCCAAGGGAGCGACCGGCAACGTAGCGACCGAGGATCTGATCCACACGCTGCATTCGCTCGGGATGCACACGGGGGTCAACCTCGAGGCGATGTCGAAGATTGGGGACTGGATCAGTGGGGAGCTGGGGCGGGCGAATGCCAGTCGGGCGGGGAAGGCGATTCTGGCGAAACTGCAGGATTAGGGTCTAGACTGTTGGGTTTGGGGGGGGATACTGTTATTTGAACATGACTATCTGTATATGGAAGGCTAGGCAATGGAGATCCATCGGTTGCATCTTGAACTGGTTGAAGCTTATCGTCATTTCGGTCTCGACAGCCCGAGAGCTCCCCGCTGGTGGAGCTTTGATTGGTGGACGGTGCCGACGGGAGGAATTCTAATTGATCATTGGCTGTAGATCCCGGGGATTGCATCCTGGTACCGTATGGTATTATTAGAATTACGTAGGTAGATACTGGGGTGGTTTTGCGATATTTACTCGAAATGGTCAAGATCATGTGTGCTTCGTGTATACTGTGTAGACTGGATATAATCAAGGCGAGGGTGTTGAGAAGGATATCACCGTGCCTCAGGCTGCAGAGGCAGTGATGACGTCGACTCCCGTGACCGCAGTGTGTATAGAACCGAACTGGCCGAACAACTTCATCTCCACAGTTCAACTCCGTCCGTCATCCTCTTACATGACAATATTGTACTCCGTAATCTTCGATGGATCCCGCTTGGAGACTCAATTGAGAAAGCCCCATCCGCTCTTATAAATACCGATCTTCACCTCTCTCCCCTTCCAAGCTCGTCTCTTCCCCTCACCGACCATCTCCCCTCTCCCCCCGCATTTCGTCGGAACATCCAGGAAAGAATCCCTTCCGAAGGTTGGTTGAGCTCCCTCGGTCCCTGATGGAAGTCAGTTGACCCCGCTAATCCGTCGGTATAAAAGCCATGCAGAGAATCCTCGGTCCGGTCTCGCGCCAGTTGCTGCGATCCACCCCCCGCTATCCCTTTGCTATCCCCGGCCCCATTGCCGCGAAACGACTATACACAATGAGCCATACCGTGCCTCCGGTGAGTATTTGACGCTGTAGTTGGTTGTGAATTTTCGGCTGACAGATGATGGCATCAGTTAAAAGACCAGTCTCTCTTCATTGAGAAGGCCTACGTCAATGGCGAATGGATCGGAGCCCAGTCGGGCGAAACCTTTGAGGTCCACGGTGCGATTGCAGCCCCAACACCCGACCGCGCAATTACGTGCGCAATCACTGGCGCAAATTTGCTAACGGGTCTATGATTGACTAGACCCCGCCAGCGGCAAGCTGATCGGAACTTGCCCCGAATTTAACGCCGCCGACACCAACAAGGCCATCCAAGCCGCCACCGAGGCCTTCCCGAAGTTCCGCACCACCCTCGCGCGCGAACGCGCCCGCATGCTCCGCCGCTGGTACCAGCTCATGATCGACAACGCGGACGACCTGGCTACGCTGATTACCTGGGAGAACGGCAAGCCGCTCGCGGATGCCAAGGGCGAGGTCAACTACGCCGCGGGCTTCTTCGAGTGGTTCAGCGAGGAGGCCCCCCGCGTCTACGGCGACACCATCCCGTCCTCGGTGGCGGGCAACCGCGTCTTGACGCTCAAGCAGCCCGTCGGCGTGTGCGGCCTGATCACCCCCTGGAACTTCCCCGCGGCGATGATCACCCGCAAGGTCGCCCCGGCCCTGGCGGCCGGCTGCACCGTCGTGTGCAAGACCCCCGGCGAAACGCCCTTCACGGCCAACGCGCTCGCCGAGCTCGCCCACCGCGCCGGCATTCCCAAGGGCGTCGTCAACGTCGTCCCGGCACTCAAGAACACCCCCGAAGTCGGCGAAGCCATCACCACGCACCCCGAAGTGCGCAAGGTCTCCTTCACCGGCTCCACGAACGTGGGCAAAATCCTCATGAAGCAATCCGCGTCGACCCTCAAAAAGGTCTCCTGGGAACTCGGCGGCAACGCGCCCTTCATCGTCTTCGACGACGTCGAAGACCTCGACGCAGCCGTCTCCGGCGCCATCGCCTCCAAATTCCGCAGCTCAGGCCAGACCTGCGTGTGCGCCAACCGCATCTACATCCAGCAGGGCGTCTACGACGAGTTCTGCCGGCGCTTCGTCGCCAAGATGCAGGACTTCAAGCTCGGCGCGGGCTTCGGCGAAGGCATCACCCACGGACCCGTCATCCACGGCCGCGCCGTCGACAAAGTCGACCAGCACGTGCAAGACGCAGTCTCCAAGGGCGCGCAGCTCGCCGCCGGTGGCTCGCGCCGCCCGGAGCTGGGGTCCAACTTCTACGACCTGACTGCGCTCACGCACATGAACAAGGACATGCTCCTCGCGTCGGAGGAGACGTTCGGGCCCGTGGCGGGTCTGTTCGCGTTCTCGACGGAGAAAGAGGTCGTCGAGCTGGCGAACCGCGCGGAGGTCGGTCTGGCCGGGTACTTCTTCAGCGGGAACGTGCGCCGCGTTTTCCGCGTCGCTGAGGCGCTGGAGGTCGGTATGGTTGGTGTGAACACGGGGATAATCAGCGATGTTGCGTCGCCGTTTGGAGGCGTCAAGCAGAGTGGGTTTGGTCGCGAGGGCAGCAAGTATGGGATTGAGGAGTTCTTGACGATTAAGAGTGTTACGTTTGGGGGGATGGGCGAGCCCCTTCAGGGGTAGTTTACCTTTATATTTCTAACGATATGCTACGTATATATACATATGTTTTTGTTTACTACTTCTTTGGAATGGCTTCAACAACGACAGGTATTTCTATTAAATTTTCTCGTGAACGTGCATCATGATGTAGGTGATAGATAGTTGCATGGGTAGATAGACAGATAGGTGAGTAATAAATGAGTAACAAGTATATGAATAAATCAAATGACACGTAAATCTGTAATGGTATAACCACCGTGATCACCAGGGCAAAGGGAATCGATAAAACAAAACAACATATAATGGTTTAAATCTCACATCCTTCACGGGGAGAAATGATAAATCAATGAGGTCATGCGGAATCATCATTCAGGACATACAGATAGTCGATCGCAGGAATCGGTCAAGAAAAAAAAAAAAACATAAATAAAGATCAGTGCACAGGGAATGTGGCGTGACATGTCATATATGATGTATGGTGAGTATATGGTATGTAATGTGATGTGGGAAACAACATTAAAAATGTTCTTCAACCTGGTCCGCCCAGGAACCTCCCACCGGAGACAGTGGGGACAGGGGGTCGAGTTTCGTAGTCGAAGTCGTCGCTTTTTCCGGGGATAATCCGGGGCTGCTGGTGCTGGGCTTCTTTGGCTCCGCGGGGAGGGCCGGGAAGTCAGCCTGGTTGTCCAGGGCCGGGGCGGCGGGTTTCTCTTGTTGGCTCTGAGGGGGTGTGGCTCCGTCGTGTCCACGCTGGCCACCACGTCCGCGACCACCTCGTCGGCCGCCGCGGCCACGGCCACGGCCACGGGGGCTATGGTGGCGATTGTGACTCTCAGACGGCTCGTCGGACGGCGTCTCCTCGGGCGCTGTCGCCCAGCGCGAGTCTTCCAGGCCTCGTCGCACCTGTCCCGTAACGCCGCCGTGCATGCCGCGGAAGTTGCCCCTCCCGCGGGACCCATTGTAGTCTTCTTCTTGCTTCTGCGAGTCCCATTCCCGGCCGGTGACGGCGTTGAGTTTCCGCTGGCGGTTGCGCTCTCTTTCCGTGTCCATCACGCGCCGATGAGCGCGCTCCTGGCGACGCTTCGCGTCGGCGACTTTCTCGCGTTCCAGGAAGGAGGCTTGGTCGGCTTCTGCACGCGCGTGCGCGGCGGCGACTCTGGCGGCGTGTTCTTTGGCGGCGGCGATCTTCTTGGACAGTTCTTCTTCTGTGAGTTTGGGCTGCGGACGTTAGTTGTGGTTTACTCCGGCGATAGTTAAGGGAAAGTGATGGTACCTTTCTGACCCCGCCCGTTGCACTCCGGTCCCCTCTGACGGCAGGCACGCGTGGTCCATCCGCGTCCTTCGTATCGACAGAGGCGCCATCTTCCTTGTTCGCATCCTCGGCGGTGGGCTCCGCCGGGGCATCATGTTTCGACTCCTGGTCACCGTTCTTCTCCTGCTCGGGCATGCTACTGTTCTCCGTCGACTTCGCCTGCGAGCCGGCATCGCCGCCGCGCTTCCGCGACGCCTGTCTGGCGCGTCCTCTGCCTCGACCCCGACCGCGCCTTTCGCCCCCACGCGATCGCGGGGTATCCGCGCGTGGTGCGGGCGGGGGTGCGTTCCGTTCCAGTGCCGCGATGTTCTCTTCGGTGACGGGAGCGGGTGTCGGGTCTACCGACGGTACTTGTTCCTCGGCGGAGACGGGAATAATCTCATCGTCGAACAGGTCGTCGGCGCCACGGGTCTGCGCGAACTCGTCGATCTCCGGGTCGGCCATGGTGGCGGTGGTGGTGGTTGGAAGAAGGGTCGAAGAGGTTCGGTGTGTCGTATCCGTAGAGAGCCGAGTGTGAGCTATGCGTTGCGCGCGCCAGGCGACAGGATGTCTAGAGAGAACGAGACTGGTGGTTTCGGGGATTCTATAGCATCGACAATCGGAGATCAGCGCTGGACAGTATTCGGTCAGCTTATCTGCATTTCGGATTCACGGGCGCCTGAAATCCACCGTCCTGAGCATGCGACGTCTCTCAGTCGCCATGCATCCCGTATCCTGTGATCCCATCCTACGCCCTTGACTGCGCCTCGGACGACATTGCGACAGCCCGCCATCCAAGGCGGTATCGGCCAATAGACTGATGTCGCGAAGGGAAAACGTACAGAAAACCAACGCCGCAAGAGAGGCAGCTCAAGGGTGATACATACACTGTAATCAATAGATCAAGACCTAGACTGCTTCCAAGAAGATGCGGGTAGAGGAAACTGAGCTGAGGCTGAAGCAACGACGATGACTCTGGCCCCTTCGGCCCTTCTCGCGCCTGTCATCAAGGCGGTCTTCCCCACCTCGTGTTCTGCCGTGTACCACCGCTTGTTTCTGCCCCCGCTGTTCATGCCTCAGTCCACCATCGTGATCGATGAGAGGCTTGTGAACACTTGACTATACTTCTTGCTTGCGTAAAACTCCTGGCATCAGGATCAAGGTGCCTTTCAATACCACTCGACGCAAGAAACACAGAAGGAGATACATATACCTTGATGAGACAGCGGTGGCTTGATTATGATGCTCCATAAGAGGATATATATATGTCCAATTCCTCCACCTATTATACGGTTTCCACACAAGACTCGATATAGTTTACTGATAGAGCATGACACACTTACTTGATGTATATCAGGATCTACCACTATGATGCACGCTGGACTTGTAACACACCGCCAATCTCAAGACCAACTCTTGTACCATGGTCGACATCCCAGACACCCTAGATATACCAGGTAATCACCCGCGCACTGCGAGGCAGCCTTACAGTTTTAACGTGTCCTACACACGATCCACGCCTTGATATGACAAGTCTAGTGAAGAGCTTTCCAGATAATTACAACCAATCGATGCCTGTGCAGAGCGGATAGTGTCATCAACTCCTAGCAGACTTACTTACCGGAAATTATATCAGTGACTCCCTCCAAGAGCACTTCGCTTTCAGCTGGCATATCTAGCTGATCAATCCCACCTTCTTCATGTCCAGTATGTGACAACTGCTGGAGACTATCCGCGTGCTGAGTCGCACAGTCTCACGTGCCATCATGTCGGCAATTTGTGGAATGAAGGATACTGGCTGCGAGCAGACTCGAATTGCGTGTATGGGATTATAAAGAAGGGAATCTCATGGCCCTCATCCCCATCCTCCAAATGACGGGCCAACCGCAGCCCTAAAGAATGAACATTCCAACACGCCCCTTGCATGGTCTGACCGGATTACCACTGCAGACCTATTTCTTCACTCTCTTCTGAAACAGACATTGGCCTTGTCTCTGTTATATTCTCCGATTTGATTTTCACTGGTGCAGTGACTCTATCCGGTCCACCTAAGGGCAGGTGCATATTGGATAGTAATACTATCTAGTCTCGACTGACGATGGGATATGACCCAGAGACTACGGCGAAGTCACAACCAGAGCGGGATGCTCTTGGAACACCAGCAACCCCATCGCAGGACAAGCCAGAGGTGACGTCGAGGGACGACGGATCCGAGCCGCTCTCGGCGACCGAGTCGGATTCCAAAGAGCATCATGTGTATCCCTCTTTCTGGCAGGGGATAATCGTCATGATTGGACTCTGTTCGTCCTTACTCTGCGTCTCGTTGGTATGACCCCTTTCATATGACCGAAATGCCTTTCTAATCTATACATCTGCTGACAATCATCTCCGTGATTTCTAGGATCAAACCATCCTCGCCACGGCGATCCCCCGAATCACAGATGAGTTTCACTCCCTAGCGGATGTGGGGTGGTATGGGAGCTCGTATCTATTCGCGACGACGGCCATGCAGATGGTGTGGGGCAAGCTGTATACATTCTACCCGGCTAAGTGGATGTTCCTGGTAGGGATTGCAATCTTCGAGGCGGGATCCTTGGTTTGTGCGCTATCACGGTCGTCTGCAATGCTCATTGTGGGACGCAGCGTCTCCGGAATGGGAGCCGGGAGTCTCAGCGCCGGGGCCATTGTCATCGTGACGAACACAATCCCCTTGCGAAAACGGCCGATCTACCTGGGCTTTATCGGGTGCGTGCACACGGTGACGAGCGTTGCAGGACCATTGTGAGTATACCTCTGCGGTTAGAGATAAACCCTCTGCGGATAGAGATAAACAGAACTGATGAGACGTAGATTAGGCGGGGTACTAACGGACCATGCCTCATGGCGCTGGTGTTTCTATATCAACCTCCCTTGCGGCGCCGTCAGCTTCATAGCCATCTTTTTCCTCTTAAACTCCAACGCCGCCCCGGCGAGCCACCTGACTGCCAAGGAAAAAGTCCTGCACATGGATCTGATCGGGTTATTCTTTTTCATCCCCGGCGTCATCTCCTTTCTGCTAGCCCTGGAGTGGGGCGGGTCACAGTATGACTGGGACAACAGACGGATCATCGTCCTTTTCGTTGTCTCGAGCGTGCTCCTCCTTATCTTCACGGGCGTGCAGGTGCGGCAGAAGGATCGCGCCACGCTACCCCCTCGCATCATCACCGAGCGCAATATGCTAGGGGTACTGTGTTACACCATATGCAACAGCGGGGCGTTATTCGTCTTTACCTACTATGTACGCCCCCTCCTTACCCTCTACAGTTCAGACCTTAACCGAATCCCAACAGCTCCCAGTTTGGTTCCAAGCCATCAAAGGCCTCTCGGCTACCAAATCCGGCCTAATGAGTCTACCCACCGAGCTAGGCGTCGTCGCAGCCTCACTATCAGGAGGCGTCCTCGTCACGGTCCTAGGATACTACACGCCCTTCCTAATAACCTCCTCCGCCATCTCCAGCATCGGCGCCGGACTCCTCAGCACACTCGTCCCAGCCTCAGGCCTAGGCAAAATCCTCGGATATCAAGTCGTCATGAGCGTGGGAATCGGCCTGGGGTTCCAGAACGCGATGCTCGTGCCGCAGGTGGCGCTCGCACCCGAAGACACCATCATGGCCATCGCGACGCTGTCCTTCGCGCACTCCTTTGCCAGCTCCATCTCGCTCACCATTGGCCAGACTGTCTTCCACAATGGTCTGGTGCGCAATCTGCGCGAGGTGGCCCCATCTGTTGACGCGGGGCTTGTGCGCGAGGGCGCGACGCAGTTGAGGGAGCGTGTTTCGGGCGATATGTTGGAGCCGGTGCTGAGGGCTTATAGCTTGGCTGTTACGCAGACGTTTTATGTTGGGCTGGCGATGTGTCTTTTGTCGCTGTTGGGGTCGGTTTCGTTGCAGTGGTTGCCGGTGAGGGAGCGAATGGATGGGGAGAAGGCGGGGGAGGTTGGCGATGAGAGTGGTGGGCGGGGTGTACCGGGTCATTATCGTGGTAGTTGATCACGTATTGGTTTTGAGGGGTATCATGACTTGCATTGGTTTGTACACTGGTGCTGGGCTTGTTTTGGCAGAAGATTGGCGTATATATGGGCTTGCCATTTACGCTGGATTCATTATACTGGTGTACACCGACCGAAGAACCAGACATATAGAATGATAGTCAGGCGGACAAGTATCGACGTATCTCCTCGCCAACCTAAAGATACCGTCCATCAGTCTACTTCTATGCATATATGTCAATAGGGTACACTGGAAAAGACAGCCTGTCAAGAGAAACATCCAAACAACACTAGTGATAAATGACAGGACTAGGTAGAGGCGGTGAATTCGCCGATTTTGTCCAGTGACCGCTGTCTGTCTGTCCATATGGCTTCACTGAGTAATATTCCAGGGTTAGCCAAGATTGACACTAAATCAGATCTGTCACACGTCAAGAGACAAGATGTCCTGCATTACATTGGCAATATACAGCAAACCATCTGTTTGACACCGCACGGTCAATGACACCCGCAGGTATATAGCTGGGGATATTGCCGATCTACGGTGTGGGGACTGATATCGACATACGCTTGTATGTAAGTAATTGTGGTTGGGATTTGAAGGAAACGGGTTGCTCACCAATACTTCCCAGAAGATCACATGTTGTCATATCTATCTATAAATTGCTATGGAAAGTAGGAACGAGGGACCATAATTCAGCACCGAGGAATCAAGGTGCAGACACCAAATGTCAGAACCCTAATCTGAGCGTCTGCAGCCCCGCAAGAAGGCTGCATATATTGGCTCATGACCAAAAAGTCGCACGTCTACAGCCGTCAATAACCTCAAAGTCCCCAGACCGCCACTGCACAGGGTCATTTGAGAGAACAACAGAGCTGCAGTACCAAAATGCATGCTTTTTGACTCTCGCGGTATCCATATCCAGACCGCAATTTACCAGACCAGGCGACTGGCGGAGTGATCAATCCAGAAGGGTCGCTGCGATATGAACCAGCTTATCTCGAGGTGTACGGATCGCGAATTAGCAGGAATAAAGACAGTTGGCTGATCTGGAGGACATTGCAACGTGCATTGAGTTCTTGTTTCTGCAAGTAGCTGGTGAGATTATTGGGTGAGTGCATATATCATATATCATATCCATCGGTAAACAAAATCTATACCAGCTTCCCCAAGATGATAGTCCTCAAAGAGTTATAAGAAGGTCAGCCTGCCCTGTAGAATTGAATCTTCATCATCAACACCAGCCACTCTTCAATCCTCATCTCCAGTCCTTTTCAATCCCCTGTCCAAGCCGATAAAAAAAATCTACCCCTTTCTACCAACCAACCACCGCCAGTAAGTTCACCACACAGGAATAGATAAAGCCTATTAGCATCCGCTAACATCCCCAGAAATGCAATTCAAGCTCTCCCTCGCCGTCTTCCTGACCACCCTCCT